AAAAATGGAAGCAGTTGGTAGGGCTAATGAGTTTGGCAAATTAACTCTCAACTGGGAAGGACCCTACCGAATCTATGAAGAGGTCAGGTACGGTACCTACCGTCTGGAAACACCAGACGGCCAACCGTTGCCTCGAACCTGGAATGTAGATAATCTTAAGAAATATTTCTTTTGAATGATGTAAATAGTCGAGGGCTACTTAATAAAAGTTTGATGTTTCATTCAATTTTGTACTAAGAGGGGCATGCCTACTGACAAACAGTCGGCTACTCTCCATGCTTAATTTTCATTTTTACCTAAGAGGGGCACGCCTACTGACAAACAGTCGGCTACTCTCCATGTTTAATTTTTATTCTTACTTAGGAGGGGCACGCCGCTTGTTCCACACAACCGGTTACTCTCCCATAACACAGTTCACCAAGAACTATCAAAGGCTCATGGCTAAAATGATCAGCCCAGGCGCCAAGCAAACTGATCCAAATATAAATTCAATTCGACCTGTCCCAACATTATAGCAGGCGTCCGACGGCATCCATCCGGATGAAATTCGTCGTAGAGAGCAGCTCCCTTTTGGGTGGAACATTGTTCTATAAAATCATTACACGGCACCTATACGACTGTCTAACCAAGACAACCACGTAGTCGTTTCCCGGACAAGGATACCTCTCGCTTAACTAACTAATCAGGTCAAACAAGTGTTCGTAGTAACCATCCGTGTCAACCAACCGACTGAACTACTTGGGATAAGAACAGTTGGTATCTTATGAGTTAATAGCCAACAAACATTGGCGAATAAAGGGGAACAACCGGTACCCACTGCTTGATACCTCTACTACTCAGTCACTTGGCGACTAGTAACAATTATGTTTCCATGGTCACTCCTTAAAAAATTTAGTATGAAGCTAAAAAGGTGTTCATACAGCGCCTGTTCACACTAGATTAAAAGTGGCGGGGAACAGTCGGCCTGGACCAACTAGAGTCTCTAGCTTAAAAAACAAAGAAACAAACAAGGCAGGTAGGAAACCACCTTCCTACTTGGTTGAAGGAAATCCATTCTTTAAAGTGGCCGACTGGTCGCTTAGCCTGGAAACAGACAACCAGTCGTCCAGGGGCATAGGTGGCGTGACTAACTATCTCGTACCTGTCCGCAACTATCGGCCATGCAAAACAGTCGGTATAGTGTGCAATTGGATATCAGAATATTCGATACTTAAACAAATTTGAAACAAAACAAAAGCAAAATATTTCGGCATAAAAAAGAAGCTGGTCATTAAAGACCGGCCAAATATTCAGAACCCCGGCCCCCTGGCCGGGTAAATAGAAACAAACGGCACGCAGGCCGTGAAAAGAAGACATAAAACTTAAGAAGGGGGCAGATCTTCAATAATAGCAGTTGTCGCCTGGTCAGCACTCTTTTTGCTGGACTCGGCTTCAGCTGCATCTTTCTTCGATGCATTACCCCCAAGCGAAACAAGCGCCACTACCGGCTCCTCCTCCTCCAACGCCTTGTCCTCAGCAGCTGCCAGGATCTCTTGATTATATCTATCAGAACACTGGCGGTACGTTTTTTCCCAGGAGGAAAAGTCGGCATTGGGGAAGAGGCGGCCCCAGGTCATGCGCTGGATTTGAGCAGAGTCTTCCATCATCTCCCGGACCAGCTCTTTCTTTTCTTGCTCGACCTTTGCCGAGAGCTCCTGAGTAAGACTCTTCTCCTGGGTCACCAGGCGTTCCTTAACGTGCGCCAAGGATTTCTCCAAGGTGTCGTATGAGGACATTTTTTTGGCGAAGAGGTCTCAGCTCGGCCTTGAGATTGTTGATGGTCGCCTCTAGCTCGCTATTTTTCTTCTGGGCCGCCTCTAACTGAGCCCGGACAGCAGAAGTAGCCTGCGCCTGATAATAAAGAATGTCAATTGTCAGAACCTCATTTTGGGCAATTTGAAACATTGCCTTATCACAGTCAGAGGCGGCCATAGCTTTTGCAGCCTTTACCTCTTTGTTCTTCCTGTCAAGCGGCTTGCGAAGGCCGTTCACTCGGAGCAGGGCCTAAGTAAAAGGGAACAGGCGTAAGTTTTCAAACAAAAAACAGGCGTCCTGGAATTTAAATAACCAAAAATATGCTAAGTATACCTCAGCAAGGACCCCTGCAATCCCGTCTAGGTCAAGGCTGCCGACACCCCTGACCGCCTCCCTCTCAGCCGGAGGGACGGCCTTGATCATAGACTTGGCCACCTCGACCAAGTCAGGCTCCTGAGGGCCGGCTGCATCAACCATAAACAAACGAGTTAGACCTAGTAAAGAAAGGAACAAGTCTAAATTCACAAAGACAGCTTCATACTTCTAGGCGACCCGATTGGAGTTTTAGAAGGAGTGGTCGGCTGTTTCTCAGCCGCCGCATGTTTCCTGGCAGAACCAGGAGAGCTCGCAACAGTCGTCCTCCGGGTCTTGGAGTCCGGCTGTTGGGAAGAAGAAGCTCTTGGAGCGCCCGTCTAAAAAAAAAACAAAAACAAAACAACACTCGGTCAGTATAAGCATAAACCCAACTCCAAAAAGAGAGTGAAAGGTTCGAAGCTCACCAAGGGCGCCCCCTTGTTGGGGGAGTCGGTTGAGGACTGTTGCATGATGGAGGCCCGCAACATGGCCGCCGCAGTCTTGGAAAAAACAAATAGCAAAGTTAATAAAAAGTCATAACAGTAATGCATGGAAAAACAGAGTATTCGACAGGCCGACTACCTCTTGAGCACCGACTGTTGAGGCCACAGGCGGCCAAAAAGTACTCGTCGTAGAGCCATTTGAAGCTCGGGACGCAGTGCAAGGGTACTTTCTCTCGTACCCCTGAAGTAGAGTCGACCCTCGACTCTACTTTAAAGAGTCCTCTATCCAGGATCTCTTTCTTAGCTTTGGGGGGAACAGGCGGCATGCTGCGGCCGCCTACAAAAAGATGCGGATTCCTGTTCCACCTGTTGTAGCGCTTGTTCAGCTCTATGTCTGAACTCTCAATGATAAGGAAGGTGCTTCGCCAGTCCTTCCACTTTTTTGCTTTACCTCTTGTCATGAGGTAGCCTCTGTGGCTTTTCAATTGATACCAGCCGGTACCGCCTGCCTTAGGAGTCCGGCTGAGGTAGTTCATGTGGGCGAAAGCCTCAAAGTTTGGCTTCACCCCGTGCAGTTCGCACCCGGCCACATAGCCGAGTACGTTGACCCAGGAGTTCGGGGCTAACTGCCATAACCCCAACTCATACCCATCCAAGATCCGCTGAACAGCCGGATGTAGTGGGAAGCGCAGCCCAGCCTTGATGGCCGCCTCGTAGCAGCCAAAGAAGGCGCCATCATAGCTAGTACCAGCCGGCCAGACGACTGTGTCTTCTGGATCCGGCACGAACACTAAAAAGACGAGGCCCATTGTGTGGTTCGCAATAAATCTCCCCACTTTCTCTTACATGGCCGTGATCCGGCCCCGTGGGACAGTGCAGTAGTAGGGGGTATTTTTCTCTCGGTAAGAGGCGGATGGCTCCGCCCAATTGTCCCCCTTCTCAACTGCGTGAGAAAGCCTCGCCTCTTGTAGGCGACTGTTTTTCTCTTCTGTGTCCAGAGAAGCATGACCAGAAGAGCTAGACTCGGATTCGTCCTCTGACGAGTCCGAAGAGGACGACTCCTCCCCTATCCCAGAGGGGCCCGCCTCCTCTCCTTTAAAAGGAGCAGGAGAGAATGTAGACTTGTCAACTGTAAAATTGGAAGGGGTCACTTTGACTCCTCCCTCAGAACTGTCGGCTTTCAAGCCGCTTTGGTTCACTTCCACATCTGGCGCCTGGTCAGATGTTTCACTAATCGGCACCCTGTGGGAAGAGCCGTCTGAGTTCGAAATCCTAGCAGTTCTTTTTGTTCTGGCCATCATGTTCTGCATAGACACAGAGACAGTCGGACTTTGTATAAAGGGCAAAGATGGGTCCGGAAAAGGGCAGGCGGCACTCCTAGTCCTAGATTCAGCCGTCCCCGGTGACCGACTGATCACTAACCTAGGTCGTGTCGTGTGCTTCCGTGGTGCCATTTCAAAAAAGAATAAAATAAAGAGAAAATTAAGAGTAAGAGAACCGACGGTTACTTGAACGAGTGACGTTGATGGAGTTCTGAAAATCCTTTGCAGTCGGCTTGTCAGAGCAGGCGGTAGGCAGAAAGGGTCCAAAATGTCAGAGCAAGTTCAGGGGTCCGAATGTTCTCTCAAAAAGTTCTCAAGTGTGAAAATGACTGAAGTCAACACTTCCTTATATAGGCGAAGGGTCACTTCCAGAATTCAAAATTTGGGCGGGAGAATCTCTCGGCCTTTCGCCGAGTGACACCTGTACCAGGCCGTCGCCTGTTACAGTGCAACACCTGTCACAGGTAACACGTGACCAGTCACGTGCCACCTGTGAGGGGCAAATGATTAGGGGATTTTGCTCCCACCAATCGGAATGCGCCACGTGGGCCAATCAGGTCCTGCGAAGTGTCCCCCAGTTGGAACTGTCAGGGCTTGCCACGTGGCACACGCTTATTCGTCCACCCTGGACCTATTATGTCATGACACGTGGCATACTCCATGCCTAATGGAGAAACCGGCCACCCAGGCCCAACTTCCGAGGGAAGCCCAATCAGCCCTAGGCTAACCTAAACCTAGGATTGACACGTTTCCCAAGGTTATAAATACCTCCCTTAATCCTCATTAAGGGAGATTACGCACATTAAACACTCTCACCTAGAGAGACCCAATCACTTTAATTTCCGCATTAATTACTCCTTAATCAAGTACTAATTTGACCGTCGAAGGCGGATCTCCAATCATCCGGAGCATCCGTTTGTTTTGCAGGTACAGGCGTCCGGTTCCAGTCTCGGAATTGTAACTCTCCCGCAGGACATCAGAAAACCTCGAAACACTTTGATTTATCGTATCATTTAAACAATAATGTGAATATATATGTACTTGTATACTGTTTTATCAATTGACTTTGAACTATAAAAATATGTAGGAATTGAGTGAAAAGAATCGTGAAAAAGCAAAGAAGAAGTCCTCAAGTTATCGTGGTGGTAGACTTGGGTACCAATATTTTCAAGAGGAGATTGTAAGTGTTAATTACATGATGTTCGCTTACTTTGATTTTTAACAATTTTAATAGTATTAACTAAATATTCAATTTTGTTTTCTGTACTATTAGGAAAAAGAACTTGAAAAGCAAGGAGTCCATGTGTCACAAGTGCCGCAGCATCTAACATGGATTAAAGCTCATTCTCATGTCAAAGATGGAGTTATAACATTTGATAATCTTGCTGATAAAGAAATCCATGATGCAATAGTAAGAGAGTATCTTTAATCTTCTTAAATGTTTTACTTTTCAAGCATTTAAAAATTTTCTTTTCATAATAATAATGTATGCAATTGATTTATATTAAACTTGATCTTTTGTATGTTTCTCAGATAGCATTAGAGGGTCAAGTTCAAAGAGGTGAATTCATTGCTAAGGGTCGAGATGATATCTTAGCCAAAGCAATGCATAAGCGTGAGCATGGTGGTTCAGTGAGAGCTGTTGGTTCAGGCATTACGGTGAAGGATTATTTTGGTTATAACAAACCTGCTCCACCCATCCAATTACATGCTGAAATAGGCATGATGAAATCAAAACTTGTATCCATGGATAATAGACAAAATTTTATGATGTCCTTCTTGATTTCATGTTGCAGCCAAGAGCAAATAAAATCTTTCATGGCAGTTGGAGCTCAACAGGTTGGTGTAGGTGGATTATTTGGAGGCAACAATACTTTTGGTAGTTTGAATGCTCGGTTTGGTGGCCTGACAGCTGGGCTACATGGGTTTTGTGGCCTGACAGGTGGGTTAGGTGGTTTTAGTGGCTTGACAGGTAGCTTGGCTGGTGGGTCTGTTAGCTTGGCTGGTGGGTCTAGTGGCCTGGGTGTTGGCTTGACAGGTGGGTTTGGTGGCCTGACAGGTGGGTTTGGTGGCCAGGCTAGTGGGTCTAATGGCCCGGAGGGTGGGTCTAGTGGTCTGGCAGGTGGGCTGGAGGGTGGGTCTAGTGGTCTGGCAGGTGATGGGTCACGTGCTTCCCAATTGGATGATACTTTTGGTCAGGGGCTTCAAGGTATCCCTCTAACTCAACTATTAACAAGCAAAATTTTCGAGCAAGGGAGCAAAGGGCATGGGCTTACCTCTGATTCATTAGCAGGGGCTGATATTTATGGTACACAAGGTAATAGAGAAGAAGATATTTGCACAAAAACGCAATCTCATATGGAAAACCTAGAGACTGAGGCATATCATGTTCCCTGGCCTCAAACAGATCGTAACAATCGACTTGAGCCTACAACTAACCTTGTGCATCAGAGTTGTGATTTGAAAGAATTTCTCGAGGTATGCCTTTTCATTCTAATTAAGTCCTCATAACTGAATTATTTAAACCAATATAGAGGAAATGAACTTAATATATAAAAAATGGTGATTAGCTGCAAAAATTTAAACGTTATAGTCCTGTAAGTTTTCCCTTTTAATTAAAATGGGTGTATTTATGTTAAGGGATGGAGTGAATGTTCTTTAGCAATTGAAGGAAACAACAAAGAGTTGCAAATTGTTGCAAACGGAAAAGTAGAGAAAATAACAGATGTCAGAGTTACTCATTCTAGAGAAATGCCGCCTGGTCATGCTCGAGTCACAATTATAGAAGATATTGTGCCGACTGCTCTCTTGCCATGTCCTAATGATGAACTAGTCTATGTTTTTCATGCAAAGAACAGCTACACACCTTGGCCGATTAACTTGATTTTTCCAAGAAAGGTATGAAATTTAATTAATGATTGGTATACGTTTGCATTGTAATATTTTTCAGCATGTGTTATCAACGGGCATTTTCTTATGTATACGAATTCTTTAAAAAAAAATTCAGCTTAATCCATCCACATATCTAGGAAATGTCACAACATATAAAGTACTTAAAATTTTACCATATGTATTTACTAAATTCATGTTATAATGTTTCTTATTCATCATGCTATAGACCATTACCCACCAAGAAAAAGTGTTGAATGTAACAACACCATCTCCACATTCAACAACATCTCAAGTAGCCACGACTCTTAAGTACGTTATCACCGAAAAGGATCGTGAAATGGTGACTTCGACATGGTTACGTGTGTTAAATACTCATGCTATGGTATTGAAAAAAAGGGGTGTGACACTCTCCATACCAATTCCAAAATGCATGTTTCTTAATGAAGACGTGGGTGTGACGCTTGACTACGAGGACTTGTTGGATTGGTGTTTTAAAAGAGAGGTTGGAGAATCCCAAATGAACGTTTTCATAAAGTGAGCGTCTTTTTTTACCAATTATTCCTTTACCCTTAAATTTATTAGTGTATTAACTTCAACATACACAACTTTTGATGAGGCAAGGTACTTGGAAGGTCATTGTCAAAATGAAGGTGTCTCGGGTATGTATGGATTCTGTGACACAAATGTTTTATCTCCAATGACACCAACTACAGATGAGGAGGTTCGATCCGACTATCTTTCTCGTGTTTTTGGATGCAACGAGGGAAAGAACGTCAATCAACTCTTCTTTGCTCCTTTTAATGACAAGTAAGTGTACGTAGTATGCATATTTTATACAATCACTATTCAATAATATTCACCATTGATTTTGCTAATATAATCACATCATCATTATGTGTAGTATGCATTGGAGGTTAGCTGTTATTAGTCCTTGGAATGGACTAATGTGCTGGTTAGATCCGGCTGGGGAAGAAAATGAGATCAATGAGTTTGTTAAAAAGATCATAAATGAGTACGAGTTCGAGTAATTATCCAACATTTTTGTTTTTGTATTATATATGCTCTATTATTAATTATTCAATTCATTGTTTTTGTCAAACAATGTCACAATTATATAGGGGATTAAAAAAATTCAGCATGGTCCATCGAAAGGACATCAAGAAGATAAAAAAGAATCCATATATTGAGTGGAAGCAACCTAAGGTACGTCATTTTAGTTTATACTCTTGATATTAAAAGAATAATGTGTTATTTAAATGCTTGTGTTATTATAATGCCAAATTTTCATGCATTTATAATTTGAATGTCTTTTTTAATAGTGTCCTCGACAGCCTCAATACTCAAAAGTTTGTGGATACTATGTTTGTCGCTATATGCTTGAGATTATACAGAAAAGGGTATTGTGGGTTTCTGATAAGGTATGTTTAATTTGATTTATGCACACAAGTAGATTCTAGTTACTAAAATCAATATCATTTATGCATAATAAATTTTATAATAGGGTTCTAGATATTTTTACACTTAATTTGACTAAGTGAAGGTTGTTCAAGGCTTATTTGAAAAATGCGGGTGCAAATTACCCTCAAATGGCTGATTTTAATCCTACCATTGCATATTTCAACCCATATCATTATATTCATTTGTTTGTATGTGTAATTATTTTTTAACATAGTTATAATGTAGCATCATCTTCCATTATGAATGAGTTATGACTATATATGGCGATTTATTGTTTATCTTGCAGGTTTTTTCAAGAGGACCCCTGTACATATTCAAATGAAAATATTGACGAAATTAGAGACTTGTGGGCTAAGTATGTTCTAGAGCTTGAACAAGATGATGTTAATGAAGGAAATGAAGATGGTATGGACATTGCGTGAGTTTAATTTGTCCATTACTTTTGGGAAAAGTATTGCGAATTTTAGAATTTTTTGTATAAAACTTTTGGAGGTTATCTAAGATGGCATGAAAATTAAAAGAGTTTGGTTTATATTTTTGGGGAATTGAATACTAGATTTTGTTTTGCAGATGTTGATGTATAGTATTTTTGGAGTTATATTGTAATTAATGGATATTTGTAAAGTGTTTATCAACTTTTATATTATTATATGCTTCATGAATATTATATAATTATGGAGTAATATATATGATGTGCATATATATAGCAGGTGTAAAATATAGGTACAAATATCCTACAGGTGCCATACAGAAAAAAATACAGCTCATATACCATACAAGAACAAATTTAATACTATAATTGATTTTTTGGCAAAAAAAAAAAAAATTGAAAAAATAAAATAAAATAACAAAGAGACCTGTTGTCGTTACTAACAGGTCTCTTAAATAATAAATAAGAGACCTGTTGGCCATGGTAACAGGTCTCTTTGCTTTCTGAAATTTAAAAAATAATCACGCGCAAAGAGACATGTTGTCTTACTTCTTAGGTCTCTTATTAATACCAAAGAGACCTGTTCTATTGACCAGGTCTCTTAACCAAAGAGACCTGTGAGCTAGAGACCTCCTAAGAAGAGGTCTCTTATGTCTATTTAAACAGGTCTCTAAGGCATATTTTGTAGTAGTGACTAGTGGTAATTCTCAAGCTAGCTCAAATAGTGTAAGGAACAAATATAGAATTTGGGGAGAGGACTCGCGGAAGAACGGAGTCGCTGCATCCACAAACAGAGGTGGGACTTCCAGCTCATCATCATTGAAAAAAACCCCTCACTTGCATGCTCTGTCATGGACCACATAAATAGTTCGAGTGCCAGCACAAGTCGAAAATATACAGCGTCCAGAAGAAACTCTCCTCAATGTCCTCAGAACCTACTAAGAGGGATGACAAAAAAGAGGAGGTAGTCAATGAAGAAGAAACCTCTAAGTTGGGAGCAATGTACTATATGTGTGCAATGGGAAAAGAGACGCCAGGAGATACGGAGGAGATAAGAGTCAAGCCACTAGCCTGATGTATGTGGATGTCTTGATCAATGGGAAGAAAGCCCGAGCGATGGTTGATACGGGAGCTACTCGTAATTTTGTCATAAAGCATGAGGCAAGCAGATTAAGCCTGAAAGCCATGCATAGGGGAGGTCGAATGAAAACCGTGGTCTCTGAAGCACAACCGACTTGCGGGGTGGCAAGGAATGTGAACACTAAGATTAGGGAGTGGAGTGGAACTCTAGAATTTATGGTGGCAACAATGGATGATTTTGAACTGGTTCTCGGGATAGACTTCTTACACACCATTAAGGTTGTCCCGATGCCCCACCTAGGGTCCTTACTTGTGACAAGCCACTAACCATGCCTCTTACGGACACATGCTCAAGCAGAAGAAGGAAAATAAATGAAAGGTCCTCTCCTCTCGGCAATGCAACTCAAGCTAAGAAGGGGATTAGGAGAAATGAGACTACGTTGCTCGCTACTCTCTCGATGAAGGATGAAGAGGACGAGAGGGACATCCCTAAGGTCATAAGAGAGTTACTTGGGGAATACTCAGATATCCTTCCCAAGGAGCTCCCAAAATCTCTATGTAACGCCCCGTATTTTCAAACCATTACTTTATGTGTGTTTCAACCCACAAAGCCTAATTTCTAATTTTAATCTCAATTTCTAAATTGAATTGTTAATTTAATTATTAAGACTGTTATTTGTTTTAAAGGTCATCCCAACCTTCTTAGACCCTAATTATAGTATTTTGACATAACGTTTGAAAGTTATTATTTAAAATGTTCTATATTTGAGTTTTAATCATTTCGAATTGTATTTGACTTGTCTGAATTGATATTAGCCTTAAAGGGTGATTCCTTTAGTTTAAGCATTAATTCAGTAAGTGATACTAAATTATATATAATTTTGATATTTAACCTATTGCGATTGATACGGGTCATCATGGGTGATTCCTTGACTGAAGTACCAATCTAATAGGTATAAAAAGATTATGGAGTTTTAAAAACGTTTTACGTGCAATCGTATCAATAAAGATAAATAAAGTTGTATTGGGTGATTTCCGTCAACTCGTTTATCAAATTGGTATTGTTTATAAAGTATTCTTTAATTCTTTTATTTATAAAACTCATTATAATGTCTTTTTATTAATTAGGTCAAAATAAATGAATAATATTACTGATTTCACATTTCGTCTTTTATGTCGCTTTTCGGTACTTATGAACTTTATATATATATATTTTGTATTGTGATTTAAGTTATTATTTTCATTATTATTATTATTGATATTATTATTGTGATATCGATGATATAATCTTTATTATCGTTTTCAAACGCGTTTCAAATCGCCTCATGTTACATTCGTTCCCTAGTCTAGTTTTGGGCCAACTAGGATTAGCTCGGAATAGAATTTGGACTAGTAATGAACCGTTCAATAGGGCTTGTATAGTTTTATACCCTTCTTTATTTTCCCTCCTTAAGCCCATGTTACTCCTTAGTTAACCCTCTTAAACTAATCCAATTAACATCCTTAATATAGGGCTTTGCATTCTAATCACATGTGTTGCTTGAGCCCATCTTCTCCTATTTCTCATGGCTATACAAGGGCCTGTTACTGCCCATTTTTCCACCATAGTAACCCCCCTCCCATTTACATCCACAATCAATCCCATTCAATCACCAATTAAATGCTGTCCAAAACCACTTGATATTCCCTATCATTCACATACAAAAACAACGCTTCTTGTGCGTGAGGTTGCTGCACCATCACAACACTTTTCTCCTCTCAATTTCCCTCAAATCTTCTGGTAATTATCAAGGGATAGTCGTGGGTCATTGATGCTGTATTTTACCCTCTTATTCAAGCACTCAAACACCATAGAACCTCATCGATCAAGGCTAGCAAGAGGCGTAACTTTGAAGCGGCTCGGGCGGATTCAAATTACGATCTTTTCATCTATTCTAATCTGATTTTTCATGCTCTCCATTCAAGGTAACTAGCACTATTCCAAGCTTTAGAAATCATGGCTAGGATAGGTTAAGGCTAGGTGCAAATTAGAGTTGATTAGATTAGAAATTGTTGTAGTTTATCTCAAGGTTGTTTGCTGTTTTGTGTGTGAGGAATGAGGGTATTATATTCATGTTTATTCCTGGTTTTTATGTTGTTTAATCATGCCTAGGAGTACTGTATATATATAGGTTTGATACCATAGATTATTGTTGTGTTTTGTGGTGGTTTTCAAGCGTTAATTTTACTCTAATGTTCACGAATTTGCTGCTCTAATTGCTGTAATTGTTCAGTGGGTTTACAGCCTCATTTGGTCTTGATTAAGTTTGTTTTTATGCCTAAAATGGTATAGCATCATGTTAGGTTTATCCCTAAGATTATTTATCATGTTTTTGGGTAAGTTTGGGTGTGAATATTTGCCCAAACGTGAGTAGAGGTGCTGCTGCCATTTAACTTGAGGGGAGTATGATTTGAGTGTGTTTAAGTGATGCATTGCCTAATTTTTATGCCAAATATTGTGCCTATACTGAGCTATTATGTTTTTATATTATGTATGTTTATGGGATAAGATTAATTATGGGTTTTAAGGTTGGTTTTGGGTGAAATTGTTGTGCATTGTATTGCTGTAATTCTAATTAGGGGCTGCTGCATTGTCATGTAGTTTTTAGTATGTTAAAAGCATGAATTTAATCCTACCTTGTGTGTATATATTACCTAATATGTGGATTAATATGTCCTAGTTTTATTTTATCATTTTGGCATGCTTTGGGTGTGTTCATGAAGCATTTAAGATGTCGTATATTGGCTGCCATTTATTTTGGGTGTTAAGTGAGTTGTCGACGTCGTTGTGCTTTAAAGTAGAATAACACTGTTTTTAGCACTGCTTCGCCAAGGGTTGTGTACGGAGTGTATTGTGATATTTTATTATAATTAGCTTCGTACCCAAATCCAGACAATAAGAGTGACACCTTGTTATGATATATAAATGATTTTTGTACATTTTGAAAATTTTTGGAGTTAAACTCTTTTCAAGGATTTTTGATGAATTTTGGTCTTAGAAGTAAAGACTTGCAGTATTTTAAATTAGGGTTGATGATCCCAAAAATGTGTTTGGATGATTTTGAAGAAATATTTTTACTGTTTTATTTTATTCGTGAGTGTAAGACAACCATTGGGCTGCGGAATTCAATGGTTGGAACATGCCAACATCTTGGGCTGCGGAATTTGAGATGTAATTTTCTAGGTTAATTATTGTCGTCCGGAACTACTCGGGCTGCGGAATTTGAGTAGGAAAACTGGGAGATTGGCCATTCTCAGACGCAGACGGCTGCGGAATCGTCTGTAGGTTTGCCCTGACAAACCTTTGATGGTGGGCTGCGGAATTCACCGGCGTTCATATTTTATATGCTTACCTCACTATAGATCAGTTTTCGAAAAGTTAAAAATTCTCTATTTTAATGTTATTACGCTTTTGAGAAGGTCTTCTTAAGTCAAGTCAAGAATTTTCTAAATCTCTTTAAAGAACCTTTATAAGTGTTAATTATTGTTTTTATGAGTTTATTGCTTATGCTTTGGGTGCCATTTATTCTTACTCTATAATAATGTGGTAATATATTCATTTTGTTCAATATACATGTTTGTTTTGTATTGTATTGTAATCACGTTGCATGTTTTGACTTGTATTCCTATCTATGTATCTTATCATGTTTATCTTGAGTGTATTGTGAAGTAGTTGTTTATCTTGTCTATATGTTGTATTATTTTTATGTATGCTTCTATGCTTTACTCTATGCTTAGCTTTGTGTTTCTACAAGTTTTGGGAGAACTACTAGTTACTCCCCACCGATCGTGGAACCTTAATGTTATTTGCAGGTGAAGGGTAGCGTTTGTTGAGTCTGGGATGAGAGCAGAGTGTTTAGGTTGTCCCCAAGTACTTTTATCGATTATTCTTTGATGTCTTTACCTCTCTTTATGAGGTAGTTGAATTTGAGGTTGTTCTGCCTCGTTAAAGGTTTTCTTTGATCATTTGAGATTTCTTTCTCTTCATAATTTTTGTTTTAGTTATTTATTTAGTTTGTTTAGTTTTTAGTAACCCTTAGAGTGACATTCCGTCTTGACGTTATTTCCGCTAACGTCTCGCCTTCTATTTTAGACGGGGTGTTATACTCTACCCCCTCAAAGGGCCATAGATCACAACATTAAGCTAGTGCCTGATGCTACACAACCTGCGAGAAGTCCTTATTGAATGGCTCCTCTAGAGCTCGCAGGCATGCGTAGATAATTGGATGGGTTGTTGGAAGCCGGATTTATCTGACCTTCCAAAGCTCCCTATGGTACGCCGGTCCTTTTCCAGAAGAAGCAGGATAGGAGTTTGA